TGGGTAACTTTTAATTTTTTTGTGATTTTAAATAAACTTGCAGGAATGGTAGAAACAATTACTGTGTGTCTTCTACCCATACTCACCAATTTTTACATTTTTCTCCATTTACTTTATCATCATCCCCTCCATGTAGATGTATACCGCCCCCCACATTATTTCTTTCTGCCCCATTTGACAGGACATTGCAGATATCATGCCTCTTCATTCCTAAAAACAAGGAATTCCTCTTACATAATTGCAGTACAACTATCAAAATTAGGAAGTTTAATATTGATACAATACTATGATCTGATCTACAGTCTAAATTCAAATTTTATCAATTATTCTATAATGTCCCGTATAGCTACATATTGTTTCCCAATCCAGTATGTAATCCAGGATCATGCATTGCATTTAGTTGCCATGTCTGTTTAGTCACTCTTAATTGGAATAGTTCTTCAGCCTTTATTTTTCTTTCATGATCTTGATATTTTTGAAGAGTACAGAACAGTTACTTTATAGAATGTTCCTCAATATTCGTTTATCTGATGTTTCATCATGATTAGATTCAGATAATGCATTTTCGGCAGGAATTACACAGAAGTGGTATTGTGTCCTCCTCAGTTCATCATATCAGGAGGCACCTGATGTGCATGTGGCTCATTATTGGTGGTATTAACTTTGTTAACTTGGGTAAGGAATTACCTGCCAGTATGCCCTATCATAAAGTTACTATTATTCATTTGTAATGAATAAGTAATTTGTAGGGAGCTACCTTGAGACAATTTAAATATTCTGTTTAGCACTGTATTAGTCCATTTCTGTTGCTTATAACAAAATAACTGGAACTGGGTAGTTTATAAAGAAATAATATTTATTGCTTATAGTTTCAGAGGCTAGGAAGACCCAAATCCAGAGAACACATCTGCTGAGGGCTCTGTTCTTGTTGGTGACTATTCAGCGAGTCAGGGTGTCACACAGCAGATGGTGGAGCAAGAAAGAGGTAACTCCTCGTTCCTTTTCCTTTAAAAGCCCTCAGAACCACACCGATGACGACCATTAAACCATCAACTTATTAATCCATTCACCAGGGCATGGTCCCCATAGTCCAATCACCTACTCAAGGCCCCATCCTTCAACCATAATAATAGAATTTTCCACCCTTTCAACACTGTCACAAGTTTCCAATACATGGACTTGGACAACACAATTCAAACCACAGCACACATCAAACTTTTACCCACTGTATTTTAGCATCCATCAATGACTCTTGACTGAATAAATTATTACTATGGTGTTTGCAATTGATGATTTTCTAAATTCGTTCTCATTTCTACATTTATTACTTGGCGTATTTCTGTAAAGAATAACTTTTATTTTATCCTTATTTATTAATTTAGTAAAACTCAAGAATTCTTATTTAATTCAAAAGGTTATAATCCACTGATCTCATTTTTTTTTTCTTTCCTTTTTTGTCTCTTTTTTACTGACCGGTAACGGGATCGCAACCCTCGGTGTCACGCCCGTACCAGGGACTGGCAACAGGATTGCAACCCTCGGTGTTGTGCCCGCACCGCGCTCAACCAGTGAGCGGGAACCGGTCTCCACATGGGATCCAAACCTTTGGCAGGAGCGCCGCCGCGCTCCCAAGCGGCGCACTCTCCAGTGCGCCACCGGGCCGGCCCTGATCTCATTTTTAAATTTGATGCTCAAATGTTTCAGATTTAGCCACTGGGACTTTGGCATGCCACATCATTCTTTACTTTCTGGCATGACAAGATGTCCCAGGATCATCTTTTACTTTCTCTGCCCCAACATTGGAATCAATCATTTCTTCAAGGAGTTCTGGTTTCTTTTTGTGGATAATGATATTTAGAAGTTAAAATCTGGGCATTAGGTGTGCTTATTTTGCTACTGGAGTGCGATGGTGTCTAGGTTCAACGGTGATAAGAAATCTCTACTTCTATCTCTATTCTATGAGGCTGAAATCTGGCTTATACTTATTTATTCATTTACCCAGGCTTAAGTTCACAGAAAGTAGATTCAGAATTGCTGATCCTACCACTATAAATATAAAACAAATAAACAAACAACCAAAAAACAAAAACTAAAAAAACCTAAACCCTACTAATCAGTGTTCAGTATTTGTTAACAGATCTTTTTGTCTTTAGACGGAGGGTGTACAGTCAAAAATAGTTATTTTTTTCCCTTTAGTGTGATTATGCTATTCATTTGAAATACAATTAGGTTCATTTGTTTCAATTTATATTCCCTTAAGTCCCCACCCATTCCATCACTGTTAATTTAACATCATCATCATCATCATCACCATCATCATCATTTTGTGTGAGTATGTAAAACATAAACATGACTTCAAAACCCAAAGTTACAAAAAAAGGTATACTCAGAGGAGTGTTACTACCTTGTTAATACACTTTCATTTGCCTTCCACCTTTATCAATTTCTGAGTTAACCTTCCTGAGTTTCTTTTTGTAAATATAAATAAATGCATTTATATTGTCTTATTTCCTCTTCTTAAACAAAAGTAGCATATTATATATGCTCTTTTGCACTTTTTTGGGGAGTGTGGGGATTGGCAACAAATATATCCTGGGAAATCACTCCATATCACAACTTCTTTAGTTTTTATTCTCAGCTGCTTAGTACTCCATTGTGTGAATGTACCATAGTTCATTAATCCAACCTCCTATGTACATTTTCTCCAGTATTTTTCCATTACAAACAGTAATGGACCTTGTCCATAGGTATTTTTGCATTGTTCAAGGTATATCTCCAAGGTAAATTCTTAGATGTGAGTCAGGGATGAACTCACTTGTGGTTGTGTTGTTGTTAAATTCCCCTCCTTAAAAGTGGGACAATGTATGAAAGTGTCTCTTTCCTCATGGCCCTGTCAAGAGAATGTACTGTCAAGCTTTGTAATTTTTACCAAATCTGATAATTAAGAAATGGTATCTAAGCATAGTTATAATTTGCATTTCTCTTATTGATGAATGAAGTTGTCTGTCATTTCATATGTTTAAAGAGCATGTTAAAATCTTTCTCCATAAATTGTTTGTTTGTGACTTTTGCTTATTTTTCTGTTGGGGTTTTTGATCCTTCTCCCCCCAGTTTTAGAGTTCTTTATGTATCGGGGATGAATATTGACCCTTTATCTGTGATGCATGTTTATCGTAGTTATTTTAAAGTCTGAGTCTGTGGGACTGTTTTTATTGTCTTTAAAAAAAATTCTTTTGGGTTTTGGGCATTTGTACTATTTCCTGGTAAGCCTTGTAAGTTTTGATTGAATGCCAGACTTTGTGTATAAAAAGTTGTAGAGGCTCTGGAGTTGTTATTTTCCTCCAGAGGTAGTTTACTTTTCTACTGGCTGACAGGTGATATGGGTAGATAACCTTGATCAAGTCTGTCAATTTAAGGTTTGTCTTCATTCTAGAGGAGTAGTCCTTCTTGGGTTGCAACTGAAAGTCTGGGGTTTTTGCCCTGTTCCTTGGCATCCCCGAAAGCTAAATTTTGAATTCTCAGCACTATGAGACTCCTATTTTCTCCTTAGACTTTGCCTTGTAGCAACTGCTTTCTACAGGTGCAGCTGAGGAGTCTGCATGTGCCTTGAGGAGAGATTGCATTATCCAAGCTCACTCTCTGCAGCTCACTCTTCTCCAGATGGTTGGCCTTTCCATTTTTGTCCCTTCTAGCACAGCAAAACCACCACAAGCTCTAGGTTGCTGCTGTCTCTTCAGCCCTTATTGCCCACATGGTGAACTGGCAAATACTCTGATGAGAAAGAACAGTGGCAAATGCAAAGCTCACCTAGTGTGTCATCCTGTCCCTAGGGTTGCAGACAATAAAGTCCTGCTGCCTTGATTATTTCCTCATACCTTCCCACAGCTCTTCTTTTACATTTTGTCTAGGTTTTATGGTTGTTCTCTAACAGAGTGGTTATTCTATCATAGCTAGTAGCAGCAGTCACCTTTCTACTTAGCACATTTCGTGAAATTTATATGGAAATGCGAGAATACAGTCAAATTGACAAAGCATTTTAAAATTGACAGGGAAATTGGCTGCTCATATACTGCTGGAGAGGGGATAAACCTTTCTGGAGGGCATTAATTTATATCAAAAGCCTTAACAATACATTTGCCCTTTGACTCAGCAATTCTGCTTTTAGGAATTTATCCTAAGAAAATAATCATGAATATATGTGAAGATTTATTTGTAAAGATATCCATCCCATTACCGAATTGAAATCAAAACCCTAAATATGCAACAGTAAGGGATTTGATAAATTGTGGTGCTTCAATGCAATGGGATATAATGGAATTCAGTGTTACAAATAATGCAGAAGAATATTTAAACGTATTAGCGATCTATTGTTAAGTTCGAGAGATTATAAAACAACACATACAGTATGTTCCCATTTAAAAACGTATACGCAGATATATAAGACTAGAAAAGTGCAAGTGGGAGTGTTAGTAGCGGGTATTGTTGGATTGCTGGATCTTCATCCTTTTGTTTATGCATGTTTAAAAGATTTTCTATAGGAAATTAATTTTTTTCTAAAAACAATTAAAAAAAAAGAAACACCTTGGAGTTTGTAGGCCCAGTTGACAGTGTTTCCTGGCAAACGTTTTATTTTATACTGGTGACCTGAGCTCTATTTTTCTGCTCTTAGTAGTTTTACAGATTTCATCAGAAAGAGTAACCTTCTTGAAAACACTTTGTGGGACAAGAAACCTCCATACAAACATATAAATTCCCACTAGTCAAATTTAAACAAATACCTGTTTTTGGTAGTGTGTGCCAAGACCTTTTTAGTAAGGAGTCCTTTAAAAAGTAAGTAGATTCATGACAAGGGCCTGGATTATAAGCAAAGATTTAATTCCTAGGAAAAAAAAAATTTCCTTTTGGAACTGGTGACCAAAATGTAATGCAGTTGCTTTTGTAAAACTAAAATCAAGATTTCTGAATAACATTCTTATCCGTTGTTGCTTTTTTTCTTGAAGGTTCTCTCTAAGGCAGCAATCACTAACTATGACCTCTTGGGTTTCGAGGCTGCTTCCTAGGAATGCCCGTTCCTTGGCTACATCATCAAAGAATCAGAAAGCTGAGGATTGTCATCGGCAGCATGAGGCCTATGGGTACTTCTTGCCCATCCAGACGAGGTGGCAGGACAATGACCAGTACGGCCATGTGAACAATGCCGTGTACTACAGCTACTTTGACACTATCATCAACCACTACCTCATCAGGTAGGCTTGGGTTCTGCAGCCCCAGACCGTCACTCTGACCCTCGGTTGCCCTCTGTTGGGAGTTCATGTAGGACAGTCTGGGAGAGAACCCCCCATTTTCCTCTGCTAGTGCACCCCTTTTGTTGAGCAGATTGAACATCAGACTCTTTCAGAGAACAGGAGTGACATGTGAGTGAGGAACGTGCTGCCCTGCTGCTCCTGCAGTCTCAGGTGTTCATATGTCTTGGTCCTTTGCACTAAATTGTCAGCAAATGTGCAGGCTTTGAATCTCAAATAAGCACCTGCACAGCAAACCACATAATGTTCAGATCCTGGGCAACTTGAGCAGACATTAACATCAACCCTCAAGGCCTTTTTGTGAGAAAAGCAGCTGCTTCCCCCACAGAGGGCACATGGGGGGAGGAGAGAGAGTAAAGATGTAAAGATGTTTGTTATAGCCTCTGAATGCCATAATGACACAATTGACATCTGATAGGTGTGTTTGCACACACAATGGATACAATTGCCATCTGATAAGTTAGTCAGTATAATTCTGTGTATAAAAGATTGTGTTGTACAGAAATGTGCAAATCCTGGCCTCACCTTGCATTAGCTGTGTAGTTTTGATCAAATTGTTTAACCTTATAGAGTCTCCTGTAAAGATAATTCATTTATTGAGAGTTTTCTCTGTGTCTAGTACTGTGAAGCATTTTACACAGACTTTCTTATTTACTCCCAAAACAACTCTGTGAGAGAGTAGCAGAGATTGTCAGGGCATTGCCTGAACCTCCTTGCCTGAACCCTTTTGGGGCACATGGACCTGTCAGTTGCCAGCACCATTTCTTTGCCTAAGGACTTTCTCTGGTCACCAGAGCCCCTTTTTCAGGCAGACTGGAAGTGCTGAAGAATTAATAACCCCCTAGAAGCAGCCTTCAACTACTGCCTTGGGTTGAATGTTCCCCCAAAACTTAGTTCCCACTGTGACAGTGTAAAGAGGGTGGGAAGTCCTATTATGGAATTGAAAGGTTGGGTCTTGAAGAGGTGATTAGATTCTGAGGACCATGCCTAGTGAATGGATTAAAAATGGCAGTCATGGGCGTGGTTCTGAGGGCTTTAAAAGGAGAGTGCAGGAGGAGATATCCCTCTCTCTGATCCACCATTTTTGTAATGTGATACCCTGAAGTCACTGTCGCCACCACCAAGGCTTTCACCAGATGTGTTCCCTGGACTTTAGACTTCCCAGTCTCAGAAACTGTAAGCAATAAATTTTGTTTTCTTTATAAATTACCCAGTTCCAAGTATTTTGTTATAAGCAACAGAAACAGACTAATACAACTACTGACTGTAAGCAATAAATTTTGTTTTCTTTATAAATTACCCAGTTCCAAGTATTTTGTTATAAGCAACAGAAACAGACTAATACAACTACTGACTGTAAGCAATAAATTTTGTTTTCTTTATAAATTACCCAGTTCCAAGTATTTTGTTATAAGCAACAGAAACAGACTAATACAACTACTGACTGATAGAAGTTGGTGTATAAATACCACAGCTGCCTCACCTTTTGGGGAAGATGACTCTGAGGTGTATACTTTACACGGACTCCCAGGCTTCCCTAGTGAGATTAAGCTTCAATTACCCAAATTGGGGCTTTTTTTTTTTTTTTGAGATAAAATGTACATAACATAAAATCTAGTATTTTAAGCTTTTAAAAGTATACAATTAGTGGTTTTTAGTATATTCACAATATTGTGCAACTATCAACACTAATTCCAGAACATTTCTATCACCCCCAAAAAAGAAACCCTATACCTGTTAGCAGTCACTCTCAATTCTCCTCTCCCTGCCAACCACTAATTTAATTTCTGTCTCTATGGATTTGCCTATAAATTTATGTGAAATTTCCATTTCACATAAATGGAATCATACAGTCTGTGGCCTTTATCACTTAGCATGATGTTTTTAAGGTTCCTTCATGCTGCAACATACATAGTACTTCATTCCTTTGTGTGACTGGATAAATTTCATTGTATGAATATGCCACATTTTGTTTATTCATCTGTCAGTTGATGGACATTTGAGTTGTTTCCACTTTTTGGCTATTATTGATAAGCTGTTGTGAACATTTTGTGTACAAGTTTTTATGTGGACATGTTTTCAATTCTTTTGGGTACACGCCTAGAATGGAATTGCTGGGCCGTATGGTAGCTCTGCGTTTAACTTCCTGAGGAAGTGTTTTACCATTGCTGTGCCATTTATATTCCCACCAGCAGAGTACGAGGGTTCCCCCTTCTCCATGTCCTCGCCAATGCTCATCTGTCTTTTTGATTATAGCCATTCTGATATGTATGAAGTACACATGTTTATCCCATTTTGATTTACATTTCCCTGATGACTAATGATGCTGAGCATCTCTTCATGAGTTTATTGGCTTTTTGTATATCTTCTTTGGCAAAATGTCTATTCAGATCCTTTGACTGTCTTTTAATTGGGTTATTAGTCTTTTCATTTTTGAGTTGTAAGTATTCTTCATATGTTCTGGATACTAGACCCTTATCATATATATGATATGTAAATATTTTTTCCCATTCTGTGGGTTGTCTTCAGTTTCTTGCTAGTGTCCTTTGACATGCAAAAGTTTTTAATTTGGATGACAGTGGTAGCTTTTTAAATAACAAATGCTATTTTGGTTACTTTCCCTTCCTTGTCTCTTCCCCACTTTCATCTACAAAAAGTACCATTTAGTTCTCACTCAAATTGAAGATTTGCTATGTTAGGCAACTTAAATGTCTTATTTTTTTGTCAAGGATATGTACAGAACAACTTCCGCTTTGAGAGTGCCTGTTTCTCTCTTGTGTGCTATGTGGTCCTGAACCTTCACACTGATTTCATCTTATGTGTACTTGTCAGTAATTCTTCTAGAAGTAGCTAGCACTTGCTTACTTACAAATAATAAGCTGTCTTTTTCAGCACTCATTATAGCTTTTAGGAGAAAGTATGCTTTATGCTTTGAAATCCACAGCAGCAGGTAAAAACATCATTTGAGGTTATTTGTAATTTCCTGTCACTTGTCACGTAGGGAAACTTGACAGTGAGTTTTCCAACTCATTCAGGACTGCCCATTCTTTTGTGGGAAGGGCCAGCCTTGTACCTTCTTGGGGTTGACTCTTGAGTCACCTCAATACAATTGGGACCTAGGAGTGTTTGGCTTTGTGGCTTTTGAATGTCTCCCATTCATGAAAAGGGCTTCTGGAAAGACAATGTGCGGTTAATGATGGTTGAGTTCTTTATCCGGTGGAGGTGTGTATGTGGTCCCAATTTATTATAAACCGCTTCATCCAGGGTCTGCTTCTGCCAGTTTTGGGGGTAGGGATGGGAGTTGGCAGCATGTAAGGAATGATTCCTGTCAGAATATTACACATTGACTCTTAAATTGTGAAAATACCCTGACTGTTGTGCCCAGGAACTTTCTAGTAATAATTTTATAAAGAAAATGGATTTATCTTTAAACTTTTCCTAAGACATCTGAGCTTAATAGGCTGCTTAAGGACTATTAGGAGCGACCCAGCATGGGAAGACCAGGTGAGGAGTGTCAACGTTACCTTCTTTGGCCGGTGTAAGGCTGCGACAGGATGAGCGGCTAGTGGAGCCACAGTGGTGTCCCAAGCTGGGCGGTGCTGTAGCCTCCTCTCCTCCTGGCTTTCTCAGGGTGGTCGGCACTGTACATGCACCACACACCCATGGAATAATCAACAAGCAACATCCTGGCCTAGAACATTCCTTCTTGGGGGGAGGGGTTGTTTTTCCAGGAGAGGGGCCAGGGAGTTGTGGGGGGCCTGTCAGGGGAGGGTGAGAAAGACAAAATTCCCATCACTTTGACACGAGGAAGGGGTTAAGTCATTCTTGAACAGTTTATTGCTCATCAATTGTAATTAAATATGTTTATATTAAATTATGTTCTGTAATTAATGTAAAATCCTTTAGCCTATGCTGTTATTAGAACCAGATGCTGAAGCACCAACAATATTTCAACATGACTGTGCTGCCTCGCCAGCTGTCTAACTGTAATTACTTTAATCTCAGCTTGTTATCTAATTATCACCTTTGTAAAGGGAAAAGTACTCTCTAATGCTTACTGATTGTTTCAGATGGTGATGAAGAGCGGGGAACAGCTGTCAGAGATCGTGGGCCCTGCTTATCATAAGGAAGGAACTTATCCTGAAGTGTATGCAGGGCCAAACTGCTGAAAAGAGATGTGCCTGGCGGGAGCTGGGGACTGGCCAGCGAGGGGAGACAGGTGGTGTGGTGGTGGAGGGTGCATCCCCCGTGGACAAACTGTCAGGTGACAGCTGCCTCCTCCGGCAGTGCCTGGGGCACAAGTTTCTTTATCTGCTTAAGACTCAGTTGCCTCATCTGTGACATGGAGACAATAATAGCATTAGAATCTACCTCAGAGGATTGTTGTGAGATTACAGGAGATAAGGCTTGTAAAGCTCTCAGCACAGTATAGGACAAAAAGGTACATATTCAGTAAATGTTAACTATTCATTTTCCTTTGAAAAAAATCAATGTTGATTTTCTCCATTTCTAGCTTAGTCTTGATAGCCAAATCTGAAACCATTAAAATGGATATCTAGATGCTAGCAACTTGACATTATCAGTTTGTTTATAATTTATGTGTAAATTCTCTCCTTTTGAGACTGAAATTTACATTTTGCATTGCTTATTCAAAAATAGTTCACCAAGCCAGCCAAGTATAAGGAAGTATTGTCAAGGAAATCTTTTTTTTTTTTTTTTCCTTTTTGTCTCTTTTTTACTGACTGGTAACGGGATCGCAACCCTCGGTGTCACGCCCGTACCGGGGACCAGCAACGGGATCGCAACCCTCGGTGTTGCGCCCGCACTGTGCTCAGCCAGTGAGCGGGAACCGGTCTCCACATGGGATCTGAACCCTCGGTGGGAGCGCCGCCGCACTCCCAAGCGGCGCACTTCTCCAGTGTGCCACCAGCTGGCCCAAGGAA